ACATGCTATTTGTCAGGAATGTATGGTTGGCATGCTTCATGCCAGCCGTCGTGGCAGTTGTTGTTTTGAGAATGCTCAGTTAGGTCTTCCATGCGCTCATCCACCCCATCCTTACAATGTGTGTCCTTTCTGTCGTCAAGGACAACCTCATTCTTGAGCTTTTCCCTGTGTTTAACACCTTCCCCTTCACTCTACCTCTCTCACAGCGTGCAAGTGGGCTGTTGTGGCATACGGGGATGGGGGCAGCTCGCGCTCAACTTCATCAACGTGGCGAGCCTTGCACGTGAGAGGCACAATGGAGGTGGAGTTCAAAGAAGAATGAGAAATTTAATGGTTTCAATCTACCCTTGTTTTTTCTTTTTATTTTTATTTTTGCATGTTATCACTGTGCCCGTTTTTTGCTTTTATTCTTTGTTCGGCAAAGTGCGCTCTTTTAGTTTGTAGTGATGTGACAATATATATATATATATTCTATTTGACGATATATATTGAGGACAATGATGTAGCTGGGATGCTGGAACCAATTTCCAGCAGGTGCTGCTCCCTACCAATAGACTGGAGCAACCAACATTGGGCCTGGCTTAAAAAGAAAGAAAGACAGAAAGAACGAAAGAAAGAAAGAAAGCTTCTGTATATGTCTGTAAATGAGTCTGATAGCTTCTTCCCTTTTTATTCCCAGTGACCCCCTTTCACAACAGGCGGTGGCGAAATTGGTTTCCGCACCAAACTCAAGTTTTTACTCAGTTCTGGTAGTCAGTTTGTATTCAGTCTTTTCAAGGAGGGTGAGAGGAACTAGTTCTTTAGCAATGGACATCCGGCGCCCGGTATTGGGGCGAAGAGGTTCTCTCCCCTCCCTTAGCAACCTGCACAGTCAATCCTCTGGTTGCCAGAGTAATTAATGCTGGCAGGGTTTACAGCTATCTCCTCTGATTCAGCCTATTCTCATCCTATTTTCAATCTGCAATGGGACGCTGGACCCGTTTTCCAGCAGGTGATGCTCCCCACCAATAGATGGAGTCCCTCCCCGGGTGCTAGTGGTGTCTGCTCTTATCAGCACCTCTAGCATTGCAGGGGGGTGTTTTTTGTAAGAAAAAAAAAGAAAGTTTTAATATATAAATAATAAATAACTACAGCCGGGTGATACTTTTTAGTTTCGTCTCGCAAACAAGATATGTTTTCGCAAAAACAAAAAAGTGTTACGATCCTGGCCAATTTCGAAGTCCACAATCATCAGAAAGTACAATGTTGTCCAATTGCGAAAAGAAATGAATGAACTTGAGCCCAATGCCGTCCAATTGCAAAAGAAATGAAAGAACTTGAGAGGAAAGAGAGGGAAAGAAGAAGAAGAAGAATTAAAAAGAAGAAAGAGATGATGTACTCCAGCATAGACCAAAGACAAAGCTCTTCTTCTTCGCTCAACAACCTCCTCCTCTCTTATTCAAACAATAAATAAACAATAANTCAACAACCTCCTCCTCTCTTATTCAAACAATAAATAAACAATAATAATGTTGAACAGCTGAACCAGAATCAATGTCCGAATCCCACTTCTACTGCAGGCACAAGATGAGGTCCACCATAGCCATGGCAGCCCTTCTTCTTCCTCCACATACAGGCCGAGGCTATGGCGGACTATGGAGGCTTCAGCCTCCTGTACAAGAGACGACCTAAAGCAGCTACACCGCTGCCCTACTCCAAGGTCATCACCCAACAGCTATGCCGCTGCCCACTCAACCGCCATGCCTGACTCTGTCTGAGCTTCCTTGATGCGGCACTACCCCCACTGGGGCCTTCCTGATGCAGCGCCTAGCAAGGAGATGAAGATGGTGTCTACCATAGCCAGGTAAGTACCCTACCACTCTCCTCCTTGGTCCCCTTCTCCCTCCTCCTCCTACCGGCTGAGCTCCACCATAGCCAAGGTGGAAGCTCCCGGCTTCTTCCTCCCAGCAGCGCTGTAGTGCCCAGCGCTCCTTCACCTAGCGCTCCAGCAGCGTGACGCCCAACTCGCACACTGAAGAATGAGGAGGAGCTCTTGCCTCCGCCTCTAGATATAGCGGCCTGCTTGCCTCTTGGGCGGTGACTTCTAGGCCGCTCTGCCTCTCCAAGCAACCGGTACCTCCTCCGTTTCGGAGGGAAACATCATTGCAGACCCTGATATTACCCGTACAGGCTCTAGACTCAGACTGGTTGGACTGGTACCGGCCTAGACCTACCCTACCGCTACTGGACTCTAAAAATGCCAACTTTGTCTTTTTTTGCTCGGCCTCCAGTACCCCTCACGTCAACCGCAGTGGGGTGCAGTATTGGCCTACCGGCCTACTTGAGTGTTTTTCCGCTACCCCAAGGGCCTCAGGGCCGCTAGCTTCGCCACTTGAGTGTTTTCCCTGCTACAGCCCTCAAGGCCACGACCACAGGTGTAAGTACCGGCCCTACGGGCCTACCAAACAAGCAAGTGCCCTTGTGGGTCCCACACACACTCATACCAACAAGCACTCAGACAGGCATGCAGGTCACAAGCACACACACACAGACAGACTTAGAAAACACAGCAGAATGCGGGAATCTCATCAAGGCATCCATTCCATCGGCAGAACTTCAGAAATCAGCAGTGTTCTCAGTCTGTGTTATGACGGGTCATTACACTACCCCCCCCTTCAAGAGCGAGGTCCCTTCGAGCGAGTAACTCAATCAGAGTCCTTGGATAGTTCATCATAGGCGTAGATAGCAAAGAGAGGTCGGGCGTGTTCCGTAGGAGTTCGGGTAGCAGTAAGCTTTGGTTGTTGTTCAACACTTATCAATCGTTCATAGGCATTAACGACACGCGGTGCACTCTGCAGTAAGTCTTTCCTAGCAATCCAATAGAAATCGTCCAACGGATGGTACAAAAAATTAACTTTGTACTATCTGTTTCTTCCCTTCCCACTATGTTCGACAATCCTATCAACCTCATAGCCGCCATTGATTGCGTAGGGAATCAATGACTCTCGGTACTTGAACGTTTCAGGTGGTTCATATGGAAACAGTTTTGACGCGTGAAAAACTGGGTATGTGCGCAAATGTGCAGGCACATCAATCGTGTAGGAAGGACCGAAGGAATCACTCCCTATCTGGTTCAAGACCTGCCACGGACCGTAGTATTGAGGAAGAAGCTTTCGTGAGACACCTTCTTCAGAAAACTCAGACATTTTGACCCAGACATAACTTCCCACTGTGAATGGTGCAGGCTGGCGCTTCTTGTTAGCATGTTTAATCATGGCACTGCGTCGCCTCTCCATAGCTGCGACAACAACTTTGAGTAGGCGATCGAACTTGGCGCTGTAGCCTGGATGGCCAGGTGTTAGGCCAGGTGGCTGATCAGGAAACAAATAAGATAGAGGATTGCGGATTTTCCATCCAAGATGCAGCCGGTTAGGCGTCATCCCGGTGGAGGAGTGGATGGAGTTGTTGTACAACCCCTGCACAATCGACAACTCCTCATCCCAAGAGTTCTGATCAGGTACAATTAGAGCCCTGAGAAGCTGGATCACGGTCTGGTTGATTTCCTCAGCCAGTCCATTGGCTTCGGGGTGTCACCCAGACGTCATTTTAAGTTTCATGTCATAGGTCTGGGAGGTGAAATCTTTCCAGTTTGCGCTTATGAACCTGGTGTCCCGATCACTCACGAGAGTTTTCGGGGGGCTATAACGTAGCACGTACCTTTTGTTGAACTCATCGATCACAAGGTCAGTTGGGGCGTGAGGTGGCAAGGGAATCAGATTTAGAAATTTCTAAAACCGATCAACGATCACCATCACTTGTGAATAACCGTTTCTGCTCTTCTTCCCCATGTCCGTGAAGTCAATGGAAACAGACTCACCCGGACCATCAGGGATAGGAAGAGGGTGCAGCAGGCCATACGGCTTCTGCCGAGACGGTTTAATGCGCTGACAAACTTTACACTCGGCCACAAACCTTTGTGCCATTCTTTTCATTCCAGGCCACACAAACCTTTCCAACAGATTCCCGTATGTCTTCTCAACTCCGAAGTGTCCACTCCGGCCATGAGCCAAATCCAAGATGTGAGTGATGATTGGCTCATGGTTGGGTACACACAACCGGTCATGCTTACCGTAGCGTCGGAAGAGAAGGTCCTTACATTCATGGAGATCAGGTTGACTACTAGGGTCAGCCCGAATCTGCTCAAGGATGGGACTGAGTTCCGGATCCTTGGCAGTGTGCTCAATGAGTTTCTTCTGTAAGTCCTTGCGAAGATCGTAGGAACCCACTAGGCAAGTCATGTACTCAGGGTGGCAAGACAAAGCATCCGCAACACAATTATAGCAGCCTTTCTTGTGTCTTAGTTCGAAATCATACACATCAATCTCATGCAGCCAGCGGGTCAGCGTAGTTGATGGGTTTATCTGTGTCTGAATCCACTTCAAAGTCTCATGATCCGAGAACACTTTAAAATGGCGACCCAAGAGGTAGTGTTTCCAATGGTCTAGTGCCTCTCTCAAGGCATAGAGCTCTCTCATGTAAGTGGAGGCAGCTACCTTGTGGCTGGGCATGCGTTTGCTGTAGTATTCCAGCGGACGTAAACCATCGCCGTCATCTTGCTGCAGCACTGCACTAATCCCATACAAACTCGCATCCGTAGTTACTACGAATGTAAGCTTGGGATCTGCAATGCGGAGCACTGGATGACTCACCAAAGCCTCTTTCAATGCTTCAAAGGCTGTCGTGCATTCTTCATTCCATGCGTAGGACACATTCTTGCTTGTTAGTCTAGACAATGGACGGGCAATGATAGAAAATTTAGTCACAGACTTACGGTAGTACGACGCAAGACCAAGAAAAGAACGCAACTCGCGGACATTCGCAGGTTGGGGCCACTTTTGGATGACCTCAACCTTTGCTGCCTTGGGCTCTAGGCCTGCAGCAGATAACCGATGTCCAAGGTAGATGACGCTGTCCCTCCCAAACTCAGATTTATCCAAGTTGAGATGGAGCTGCGCGTCCTTGAGGATCTGCATCACTTCCTCAAGGTGTCTCATGTGCTCCTCCATTGATTTGCTGAAGATAAGAATGCCACCCAGATATACAACAACAAATCGGTTGATCTGATTGCGAAACACTTTGTCCATGAGACTTTGAAAGGTGGCTGGTGCATTCGTGAGACCGAAGGGCATAACTGTAAACTTGTACAACCCATCGCGAGTTTTGAATGCAGTTTTGTGCTGGTCTGCAGGTTCGACCTCAATCTGAGATTGATCTTGCTGAAGACTTTGCAACCACCTACAGCATCAAGCAGATCATCGATACGTGGCAAAGGGTATGCATTCTTTCTTGTGATTCTATTCAATCCGCAGTAGTCAATACACATCCGCAGTTTGCCTCCCTTCTTAGGAACAAACAACACTGGTGCACCAAATTCAGACTCACTGGGTTTGATCCATCCCTTCCCAATCATCTCATCAATCTGTCGTCGCAACTCCTCCAATTCGCCTGAGCCCATTCGATAGACACAACCTTTTGGAGGGGTGCTACCTTCAATCAACTCGATTTTGTGTCGGACCGGTCGCACGGGAACTCCGTGCGGTTCGGCCAAGACCTCAAGAAACCGGTTGAGAAGGTTGCGGATTTCCGGTGGGATTCCGGAGGGGGATCATCACTCTCAGGAGCTAGCATACCACATTGCATAGGTGCAACCAAGACAACTGATTTTGCAGCAGAATCACTTGGACTAGAGATGGATTTAGTAGAGGTAGAAGTAGCTTCCGAGGTGGAAACAACATGCAATGTAGAATCATTATGTACAACAAAAATAGAAGGCACATGAGCAGGCCTAACAAAGGCTATATACATTTGCTCATCAGTTTTGCGCCTGCGCCACTTTTTGCAGAATTGCATTGCATTGAAAAAGGTTACTTGGGACTCGCGCGGCTCATCCAAGAGGACTGGTCGCTCGATTCCCATGGCATCTTTGACCATGAATTGTGAGTCCTTCCACGTGGTTCTTTCACATTGGGCCTGCAACCAGCCCAAGCTAATAACCGCGTCGAAGGGGCACTGATCAAGGACATAGAAGTTCAATTCATGCGTGATTGTGCGATCATCGTCAAAGGTAGTGCGCACACCTTTGACTGCATGCGTGGAAATGACAACCTCTCGGTTGCCCACTTGGGTCCGACAAGGATTCTGCAAAGTCACTTGCTTGCCCCAAGCGTGCTTTACGAATGCCGTGCGGTGAGAAGTAGTTGACGGTTGCACCACAATCAGCCAACGCACGGATGTAACGACCATTAATGTAGAGTTTGAAGAAGATCAACTTCGTTCTCCCTTGCGCGCGTTCTTGCTTCATGTGAGCCCAGCGCGTCAACAGAGAATGAAAGTCAATTTTTTCCGACTCTACCCAAGGCTCCTTGTAAAGGATATGGATCTTCTCAGCCTTGGAATCAGCATCAGATGGGGTTTCAGGAGAGGTTTGCTGAGTGGGATCAGAATCCAAAGAAGAATCTGTACTTACATGTTTAGCCTCTCCATCAGTAGAGTGTGCTGATGATGTCTCTACCCCCGTTGTTGGGTTCCCTGCTGCAATCTGAAACAATGTTGGACTGAATGTCCCGGTTTGGTGCAATGCAGGCAAACTCCTTTCTTCACCCTGTTCTTCTACTCACTTTCACTAATCCGGAGATCTACCCATGGTTTTGTGGCAGGATCTTCCGGTTTTGGTGGAATCTTTGCTCCCTTGGGAAGAAGGATAGTGTTAGTGTTATTCTTCATCGTGGTCCTCGGTCCCTTACTCTTAAAGGCAGTCTTCTTAAAGGCATTCATGGATTCATCGTCATTCACATACTCAGACTCATGGGCTGACAAAGCGCAAGATGCCCCGCAGTCTTGCTCTTGATCGTCATCAAGAGAAGATTCTTCTACGAGGGTCTCCTCGTCAGCCTCAAGCAGATCATGTGCTGCAAAACGTTTGCTGCCTGGAAACCATTTGCCGCCAGTGGCCTTTTTGCCACTTGATCCACCCGGGAGGTCCTGTGCCTCCAGCTTGACTAAGTCCCGCATGAGGGTAAGCCAATCTGTATATCCGTTGAGCCCGAGCCCTAGG